ATCAGAATCTCCTTGGGAGCGCATTGCCCTTCTCATTTTTCTCTACCTCTAAAGTTGCTTGAACGCCTTGCGCACCTATTCCAGCGGGCATTCAGGGTATAATGAATATCCGTTAGTGGGCCAGGTTTGAGTAAGCCCATCTGGCGATGCCCCCATTAATCACACAGCGCCTTCTTAGTACTTCAAACACCGTTCAGATAGCACCCATCAATGTTTCTTTTTTCATCAAACACGGCAATGCGTTGGTCACCTTTGTTGATAGCCGCTCCCGAGTGAGTTACGACCGGGGGCGGGGGACGGGGGGGGAGGAGTTGAGCAGATGTGTGTGTTCACTTGAACAGACGCGCATCCTCGAGCTCGTGCGAGTCGATGGGCGCGTTCCAGACGGCGGCGGGACGGAAGCGACGGAGGGTGCGGATGGCCAGCTGCTCGATGGAGGTGGCCTTGAGGTTGAGGTCGGCCAGAGTGGCGTCGCCGTCAGGGACGACCTCGTCGATGAGGGCGCGGGCGACGGTATCGTCTGAGAACTTTGTGTTGGGCAGGCGGGCGAGGTACTTGCCGGCAAAGGCGAGCGGAGCGACCGGGAGGTCGAGGAGGCGCGGCTCGATGCGGACCATGTCAAAGACAAAGTGGGCGAGCTGCGACATGGTAAGGGCGTCGGGCCCGACAATCGAGTACGACTTGCCGGCCGAGTCAGTACGGTCGAGGGCGGCGACGATGGCGCCTGCAGTGTCGCCGACGGTGACCGGCTGGACAACCTGTGCGCCGCCGTTGACGACCGGGATGGTCTTGATCGACTTGGCCAGGCCGCCGAGCACGTTGAGGAACTTGTCCTCCTCGCCGACAATGGTCGCCGGCTTGATGAACGTGGCCGAGGGGAAGGCCTTGCGGACGGCAACCTCGCCGGCAGCCTTGGAGGCAAAGTACCGCGACGACGAGCCGGAATCGGCGCAGAGGTGCGAGACGTGGACGAGCTTCTCGACACCGACATCGGCGGCCTGCTCGGCAACGGCGCCGGCAAGGTGCGCGTGGACGTGCTCGTACGGCCAGTTGACCGTCTCAAAGTCCGAGCCCATGAGGTTCACCACCATGTCGGCGTCGACAAGGGCCTCGCGGATCGACTCGGGCGAGCGCGGGTCAAACGGAATGGGCACAATCTGGCCGAGATCGCCCATGAGGCGGAGATGGCGCCAGTCGTGCTCATCGCCACGGTACGGAACAAGAACCTGCGTGCCCATGCGACCAAGCCGGTTGACCAGGTACCGTCCCACAAAGCCCGTAGCGCCAAAGACTGCCACCGTCACACCGCTCACCGACGACCGCCCGCCAGCGCCACCACGCGCCACAGAGGCTGTAAGGTCGCCGGTGGCCTCCAGCGCAAACCCGTTAGCAGCAGCGCAGCCCGACAGCAGTGCCTACAACCACCCAGCCAAACACACGTATACATACCGGTTACCCATACCATAAGTCATACACTCCCTCGGTGCGCCCGCCCCCCCCCACACACACACCATGTTGGGGAGGATGACCCGCCCCGACCAAAAAATGGGCTGCCCGTCACCGCACCCATAGCCAAGGGAGGGAGAGGGGAGAGGGGAGAGAGGGGAAAGAGGAAAGGACAGAAGTAAAGGGACGTACCGTCTGCGTCCGCATAGCAGCAGCCATGTGCGTCCCCACACCGCGGAGCATTGTGTTGTGAGAGCCAGCGAGGTGTGCGGTCGTGAGGTCGTGGCGGGGCGAGTCGATCGGCGGGTGGTGTGGCATTGGCGGCTGAGGGGATTTGTGAGAAGGGGGGGGGGGTACCCGGTAGGTGACGGGATCGGGAGTGATCAGGGCGAGATCATTGACAGTGGCATGATGTGGGTGATGAGGGCGATGACACGGAGCGGAGGGGCGGAAGGGCGGAGGGGCGGCGGGGCGGAGGAGCGGAGGGGGGGGGAGTTGAGCGCTCTCGCGGCCCGCGAGAGGGTGCGATGATCGTTGCAGAGAAAGCGTCAGTAGAGTTAGTTGTGACCATCAGCGGGTTGGACTAGGAGAGGAGGGGGAAGGAGGGTGTGGCGATGGGGAGAGCTGGGTTTTCCTCTGGATGTGGAGGGCAGCAGAGTGCAGCAGAATCAAAGATCAAGAGAAAATGTCGGCTAGTGGTGAATGTAGCAGCAGCCACTCCCTCTCTGTATGCTCATGATTTGTGCTCATTGCGATGACAGGAGACCCCTCTCGCGAGACCTGTCTCTTGCTCTCAGGCTCACGCTCGATGATGCACTGGAGCTGTGCGTGGCAAACCTAGCAGGTATTCCCCAGCGAGCACCTCCTCCCCCTCCCCATCTCAAACTATTTTTCATCCCAGACCCACCCCCCACCCCCCACATGTTCGAATGCTCGCGGGTCATGGTTGGCTTGACACCGGCACCTCGGCACCTCCGCTGCGTCTCTGCTCCCCACCTCACACCTCACGCTCGTGGTGCACCTCGACGTACTCCAAGCATGTCCTCTGCACTGCACGGCTTCACCATCTGTGCCACAGGCAAGTTCCCAGTCACTCGCTCAGCGCTCTCCAAGACGCTCGAAGCGCACGGGGCGACGGTGGCCAGCTCGGTGACCAAGAAGGTATGGAAAACAGGGCGGGGGCGGGTGGGGGGTGTGTGTGGAAAAAAAAATGAATTTCATGCACTCCGTCCGTCATGTACTCACCAGGGGAGCAAAACAGGTGACGCATCTGCTGGCCGAGGGCGACAACTCGTCGGCAAAGTACAAGAAGGCTGTGGCTAATGGCGTGACGATTGTGGATCTGGCGTGGCTGGAGGCGGCGATCGGCCCGCTGGCGGGAGGCGGCAGCGGCAGCGGCGGGGCGCAGCCGTCGCGTCCGGGAGTGGTCACCCGGCGGTCGACCCGGAAGCGCAAGGCGGCGGCGGGTGCGGCGGCAGCGGATGACGATGACGATGACGAGGACGCGGCTGTTGGTAAGCCGCTGGCTGGCAAGGTGGTGTGCGTCTCGGGAACGATCTCGCTCGGCAAGCGGGCCGAGGTGGCCAAGATGCTCGAGGATCTCGGGGCGACGGTCTCGGGGTCGGTGACCAAGGCGACAACGGACTTGCTCTCGGACGGCAACACCGGGAGCTCCAAGTACACCAAGGCGGTTGCGAAGAGCATTCCAATCCACGACGAGGCGTGGCTGGCGGCGCTTGTGAACGGTAGCGGGAGCGGGAGCGGAGGCAGCGCAACAAGCTCGGTGGCAAGTACGGCCGGGGCGACGGCGGCAGCCAGCGGTGGGAGCAACAAGAAGCAGAAGACGCTGTCGGGCGCGGCGGCGACGCTGCCTGTGGACGACGCGTGCCAGCTGCAGGGCGCACAGGTTGTGGAAAACTACTCGTGCATGCTCAACCAGACCGACATCCGGCGCAACGCCAACAAGTTCTACCGCATCCAGGTGCTCTCGACGCCTGGCCCGGTCTACCATCTGTACACGCACTGGGGCCGCGTCGGCGCGCGTGGACAGGACAAGACCCAGCGGTGCTCGTCGCTTGCGGACGCCATCACGGGCTTCAAGAAGAAGTTCTCCGCCAAGACGCTCAACTCGTGGGACAACCGGGCGTCGTTTGTCCAGCGGCCGGGCAAGTACCAGCTGATCGGCCTTTCGCACGGCGAGTCTGACGACGACGAGTCTGACGACGACGAGTCTGACGAGGGGACCGGCGGTGGTGAAGAGACCGGCGGAGCCGGAGCGAGTGGAGGCGCCGCAGGCAACGACGGCGGCTCTGACGACTACCTCTTCTCTGGGCGGCTCAAGTCGGGCGAGCTGCTGTACATCATTGAGAACGACATCTGCGAGGTGGAGGCCGACTGCGTGGTGCATCCGACGGCGTCGCACATCTCGACGGGCGGGCAGGTCGGGCGGGTGCTTGCGCTCGCCGGCGGAGCCGGGTTCCGCAAGGCCATCAGCGACTTCTCGGGCAGCATCCCGGTCAACGGGGCTGTCATCACGAGCGCCGGCGACCTGCCTGCCTCGCACGTGGTGCACGTCAACTCGCCGTCGTTCAACGGGCGTGCGGCCAAGGCGTCGTACGCCGCGCTGGCCAAGACCATCCACGCTGCGCTGGAGACGGCGTCGGACGCCGGGCTCGTCTCGATTGCCTTTCCGTCGATCGGCTCGGGCGTCAACGGGTTTCCCAAGGACGGTGCCGCGCGGGTCATCCTCTCGGCCATCGGCGAGTGGTTTTCGGCTGTCGAGGCCGACGGCGAGGAGACCTCGCTCGACGAGGTCATCTTTGTGCTGTACGACCCAGCGTCGATGGCGTGCTACCGCAACCAATTCCAGGAGATCTCGTCGGGACTCATGGGCCACCTAGAGTGAGTTCCCAACGCAATGATGGCCTTAAGTAAAGCGGCGGCGCCGCTGTTGGAGCTATTGCCTCTTTACATGTTGTGTAGTGCTGGGGTGTGTGGCTATTATTGGCCCTGCGGCGGCTGCTGGCCCTGGCCCTGGGCCTCGTCGTTGACCATGTCGGCGCCATACGAAAAGAGGAAGTTGGCGGCGAGGTCCGGATCCTTGTTGCAGGACATGTAGGCCTGGACGCAGATGTGGCGAGGGAAGCCAAGAGCCTCGAGCTGCTCGATGTGGCCCTTCTCCTCCTCGGTGACCTGGATGTAATTGACGCCCGGCGGCGGGGCGCCCATGCCGCCGGCGACGCCACCCAGCTCCTGGTTCATCTGGTCGGTGGCGGCCGAGGCCGCGGCCATCTCGGCCTCGGTGACCGGCTCGTTCATGAGGGCCAGGAACTCGTCTTGATGGGCCGAGATGAGCTGCAGCAGCTGCGGCTGGGTCTGGCCCAGCTGCTGGAGCATCGGCTGCATCAGCGCCGGGTTCTGCTGGACTGCATACCGCAGCCGGGTGAACGGCGGCATGGCGCGGAGCGCCGCGGTGAACGCCGCGCCTTCGGTCATCTCGCCGTCGTCGCCGCCGTCGTCACCGCCGGCCTCATTCGGCACGCCGCCAACCTCAGCGCTGCCTGTCTGCGGCTGCGCCGGCGTGCCGCCTGCCGCCATCTGCGCCATCAGCTCGGGCGGAATGCCGTTAAGCAGGTAGTCGACCGCACGGTCCGGGTTGTTGAACGCGGCACGGAGCGCGACCTCGCACTGATCGCGCGGAAAGCCGAGCGCCATCAGCGTCTGCACCGCACCCTCTTCCGATGCGCCGGTGACCATCGCCTCTGGGCCCGGCGCGGCGGCGGCGGGAGGAGTCGGGGTGGGAGAAGGAGCAACGGTGGTGGCGGTGGCGGTGGTGGCGGTGGTGGTGGTGGTCGACGGCGGCGGCGCGGTGTTGGCCGGAGTGGTGTCCATGGGTGCGGGGGTGGGGGCCGAGCTAGAGCTGGAGGAGGAGACAGACGCCGGCTTGGGCTTTGCCTGCGCAACCTTCTTGGTGGCCATGACAACAAAGAACTCTCCGTCCGCCACGCCGTACGACTCCAATGTCTCTGCGTCTGCGAGGATCTTGCCCTTGTACACAAGCTTCTGATGGGCGGCATCAAAGCCCTTTTCACCTTCGATCATCTTCTTGACCTCGAGAACCTGGGGCAGGTCATGCGTGCATGAGTGAGGAGGGGGGGGGAGGGGGGGAGATCAGGCTGTGATCAAACCGTTTCACGGAAAAGGTCGCAGTTTGCTGGGCGACCTGTTCTTCCATTGCCGGCTCGCAACGAGTCGCCAGGTGGGGAGGAGGGGAATGGGAGAGGGAGGACGTACCGTCTGAGAGGGAGTCACCTCGAGGGTGAACTGGTCCCGGGAGAGGGTCTTGCACAGGACCTTCATTGTGTGTTATGGTGTGGGAGGAAGAGAGAGCGGTGGTTGTCGTGGACGTCGTTGTCGTCGCCGTGGTGGCCGCCGTGTGGCGGTGAGGAGCTGGGCGACCTGTGGTTGTTTGAGTTGGGCTGGCATTCAATGATTGTGGCTGATTGATTGGTTGCGCGCGCGAGAGGGCGGGGAGGGTATCCCATGCATGGTGGACAGAGAGTGCAATGTTATCTCCGGGGTGTGGATAGGTGCGATGTGAAGCAGCGGCGAAAGTCGGCAAACTGGGTCTTGCAAGCGTCCTTCTCGATGGTGGCCATCGAGTTGCCCACGCAGACGCCGTAGGCAGCGGCCTGAAGGCAGGGATGGGGTCCAGGCAAGGCAACCGGTGGGGTTAGATGATGTGCAGCCACCAGGGCAAGGGTCCGAGTACACGCAAGAGTATGTGCAGGAGTATCGCATGTGCAGGAGCACGCGCACATCCGATCAAGCGCAAGTGCAAGGACGCGCAATCGGGCAGCAGGCGAGAGATCAAAGCAAGGCATCCAGGCAGCAAGGCAGCAAGACAGCAGGACAATGGGTAAGTGTTGGTGATGCCTCCCCTCCCCCCCCCTGGTTTTGCTGGCCGAGGCTACACACAGCCGCGACTCGAGTATGGCATGGAGCGTACCTCTTTGGAGCATTGGCTCAGAGCTCCTCTGAACTTGGTGACGAGGGCACGCGTTCCACGGGCCTTGGATGCGTTCATAGTAGCAGTATGTGGGCGGTGTGTGGTGTGGGGTGGCGGTGTGGTGCGGTGCGGTGTGGGTGAGGGGTGAGGTGCGGTGAGTTGGCCGTGGCGGACGGGTGTTGCGTGGTCATCGCCGGGGCCATTGTGCGGGATCGACTGTGGTGGATGAGAGTAGGCGCAGGCATGACCCCCCTATCATCACCATCATCATCATCATTACCATCATCCTGCCCTTCCATACCCCCATATCCCCACCCCCTCTTCCCGATCCCGCCTTCCCAATCCCCCCCCCTTCCCAATCCCGATCCCCATTCACGACGACCACCCCGATCTCATCATCCCCCCCCCCCCCCCCCCCCCGCATTTTTACGTGGGTGGCTTTCTACACCATACCCACGTGAGGCTTGGCCCGGCCCACTAGGGCACAACGTGCTGGTGGTGAAGGAGGAGGGGGGGCGGGTGGCG